CAGCACCATGGGTTCTTCTAAGCAGTTGTCTAGAAAACTGAAACTGAAAATAGTTGTTGCTCACAAAGCTGGAGAAGGCTATAAGAAGATAGCAAAGCGTTTTAAGATGTCAATATCCTCTGTTCGGAATGTAATTAAGAAATGGCAGTCATCAGGAACAGTGGAAGCTAAAGCAAGATCTGGAAGACCAAAAAAAATATCAGACAGAACAGCTCGCAGGATTGTGAGAAAAACAATTCAAAACCCACGTTTGACTGCACGATCCCTCCAGAAAGATCTGGCAGACACTGGAGTTGTGGTACACTATTCCACTATAAAGAGATACTTGTACGTTTGAACTTTGCAAATGAACATATAGACAAGCCTGATGCATTTTGGAAACAAGTTCTGTGGACCGATGAGGTTAAAATTGAACTTTTTGGCTGGAATGAGCAAAGGTACGTTTGGAGAAGAAGGGGTACAGAATTTAATGAAAAGAACCTCTGTCTAACTGTTAAGCATGGGGTTGGATCAATCATGCTTTGGGGTTGTGTTGCAGCCAGTGGCACAGGGAACATCTCACGAGTGGAAGGAAAAATGGATTCAATAAAATTTCAGCAAATTTTGGATGGTAACTTGATGCCATCTGTGAAAAAGCTGAAGTTAAAGAGAGGATGGCTTCTACAAATGGATAATGATCCTAAACACACCTCGAAATCCACGGGGCATTACATCAAGAGGCGTAAACTGAAGGTTTTGCCACGGCCTTCACAATCTCCTGACCTCAACATAATTGAAAATCTATGGATAGACCTTAAAAGAGCAGTGCGTGACAGACAGCCCAGAAATCTCAAAGAACTGGAAGACTTTTGTAAGGAAGAATGGGCAAAGATACCTCAAACAAGAATTGAAAGACTCTTGGCTGGCTACAAAAAGCGTTTACAAGCTGTGATACTTGCCAAAGGGGGCAGTACAAGATATTAACTCTGCAGGGTGCCCAAACTTTTGCAGATGCCATTTTTTTGTTTTCTGTTATTTTGAAAGTGTAAATGATGGAAATAAAATCTAACTTTTGTTGACATATTATAAGAATGTCTAATCTGTAATTTGATGCCTTTTGGAGATTTTTCCATCTTTCCTTGGCTTCTTTATGCACATTATTACAAATTTTTAGCTGGGGTGCCCAAACTTTCGATCCCCACCGTATATATATATATATATATATATATATATATATATATATATATATCTCTATCTATATATACACACACACGTATTTAAAAAAACATAACCAGTTCTGCACCACCCTATAGCAGAAATATTGCTACAGGGCAGCAAGGGTGCACAAAATCACATATATATATATATATATATATATATATATATATATATATATATATATATATATATATATATATATATATACATACACATACATACATACACACCTGATTTTGCAGTTCTGGGTAGGGGGCACGTGCGCCCTACCCTCGCTGCTATTAGCGGCGTCGGTTGTCAATCACCGGGTCCCGGACGGAGATTACTCACTGGTACCAGGTGATCACCGAGTATCTCTGATGGGGAAGAGGCCTGTATGTAAACAATACAGATCTCTCCCCTGTCAGCTTCTGCACACTGTTTTATATGGCTTTGCATAGCAGAGCCATACAAAGCAGTGTGCTTACAGTGAAACACACACAGAGCCCCCAAAGTAAAACAGCACACATTTAACTCTTTGATCGCCCCACGTTAACCCCTTCCTGCCCAGTGTCATTAGTACACTGTCAGTGCTTTTATTAGCACTGATCACTGTATTGGTGTCACTGGGGATGTCAGTGACACCAAGTCAGTTCCCCCCAGTGTCAGAATGCCTGCCACAGTCCCTTTGGAAACTAAAGTCAGTACTCCAGTACTAAAAGGCCACCATTTTATGAAGCAATTGAGATGTCCTTCTGCCAGGATACTGTTGTAAAGATGAAAAAAGTAACAGGTTTGAGAATCTTTGGCTTCAGAGATACAGCCTGATGCCTGATAGCGCACACATACCTGTCCTTGGCTGGGTGTGTGTAGGTACACCCCAAGATAAAGTCCTATAGATGTAGAGTGAGCCAGTCTTAGCTTGTGACCAATGCCTGGAGTCTGCCGCATATCCTTACTAAAGGGCACAAACTCCAGCATATCAGACACCATAAGGCACATCTGATCCTGAAATGACAGGACAAAAAGCCATGAATAAGATATCTTATTGATAGAATATAAAAATATAACTAAGGCATCCTTAGTATTATTAGTCACACAACCTAAATGTTGTTTGCAGTGGGCACTTACCTTGTAAGACCACATGCGGAGTTTGTGATCCTGGCATAATGCAAATATTAAAGCATCGTTTTCAAGGCAGTGGACAGCTAAGCTTACAGGAAGATGTGCAGGACCATGATCACCCCTAGAGAGAAAAAAAAAAGATATCTATATTTAATGAGGTATCTGTTTATACCTACTTCGCTATGTAAGGCGTACTTTTATCTTTATGGCCAATTTAGATTTTCTACCAACAATGGATGAGAATATACAACTTTATTTGGACTTCCAATTTAAATTTGCAAAATACATTCCCGATGCATGAAAACATGAGGTGTGCAAAGTCTAATTGTTAACTTTATTTAAAAAAAACAAAAAAAAAAAAAAAACTAACACAGGCACAACCTGCCTGTGTAGGAAAGCCTGTCCCCTGCCAGATTGCTGCACAGATCAACTCTCACTCTGTGAGGAAGCAGAATTTTTGCAGAGGCCCAACATCCTCCTGCTGAGTCAGAGCCAGCGCTCTCCAATCAGCAGAGGGCACAATCTATGCTGCTGGCATTTGAACCGCCTATGGCCAGAATTTGCACAAATGATTATTCAAAAGTCTATACCAGTGTTTCTCAACTTTTTTTTCTGTCAAGGCACCCTTTAAAATTATGGACAGTCCCAGGGCACCCTTTAAAATTATGGACAGTCCCAGGGCACCCTTTAAAATTATGGACAGTCCCAGGGCACCCTTTAAAATTATAGACAGTCTTGAGACACCCCATTCTGAAATGTGAAAACTATTCTAATAGTTTTATATACGCAGCAACATCCACACATGTAGGACACCCAACATTAGAGGTGATTTATTCTTCCGAAGCAAATACACCATTGCACACTGGTACTGACTAGTATTCCATTGTTTCTCTTCTCCTTCAGTTTTTATCCATCACAGAGCTAATGTGACCCCAGCACTGATGGCGAGGGGCGGGGGAGGGTCAAACTAGGATGCTGTGTAGGCAACTGACATCCTTCTTATCAACTGATGATGTCATTGGTTGTCAGGACGCCAGTGGCTAGAAGGTGCACAATAAAAACCTGTGACTGTGTAATGAAAAGGCAGGCTCATTCCACCCGCTGGCTAATTTTTAATACATTTTGCCAAGGCACCCCTGAAGAAACCTCAAGGCACCCTGGTTGAGAAAGGCTGGTCTATACAACAGGACAAAACTGGTAGTTAAGGTACATGCAAAGGCAAACGTTTTATGTATGTGATAAAGTAGGAAAAAGCTTTTGCAGTCCTTCTGTAAGGGAGTTTTTCCCTGACTTCCTGTCCCAGAGACACAACAAGCAGTGAGAAGAAATCTCTCTAAAAGCAAGTGGTACTCACCTATTACACAGCTGTCATCAGAACAACCCTGTGCCTGCGTGGGTTTCCTCGGGTACTCCGGTTTCCTCCCACACTCCAAAGACATGCTAGTAGGTTAATTGGATCCTGTCTAAATTGGCCCTAGTATGTGTATGTATGAATGTGAGTTAGGAACCTTAGATTGTACACCCCTTGAGGGTTAGGGACTGATGTGAATGTACAATATATATGTAAAGTGCTGCGTAAATTGACGGCACTTTATAAGTACCTGAAATAAATAAACAAGTGTCCCCATTGGAAGATTTCCGCTAACCTCCTATTCTGGTGACAACTTTACTTACTGTACTTGTAACAATGGTCACCAAGACAAATACAGAGAGTGAATCTCCCCAATGGGAACACAGACAATGATAAGAACCCAAGAGTGGGATTACGTGCCATTGATAAAGAAAAAAAGCATTGTGGTTTAGACACATTTTAATATTATTTAAAGTATATTTATTTTGCCACATCTCTTTACTTCATTAAAATTTAAGAAACCTGACATGACACTTTAAACAGCGAAATCTATACAATTGGCGCCCAACTATTGGACTGGAAGGAGCAATTGAAAATTAATTTCCTTGTGCTCAGTAATACAGATGAGGCTCCACACACAGAGGAAGAAGGATTCTGTTGGGCTTAGCAGATGTGGTTTTATTAAATCTGATGGTGCTTTACCCATGACAGCTTCACAACGTAGAATGAGCCACACAAACTTACATTAGCCCCAATGTTCATACTAACCGTATCACTGTTGGCATCCAGCCAGTTAATAACTTGATAACAGAGGATTGCTTGAGTTCCACCGTAGTCACTGCCCCTGAGGATATAGCAAACACCATTGAATAATTAACCTCCCTAGCGGTATGATTTCAGATTTTTGGTGCTGAAAGTGGTACCATTATTTTGCATGGAAATATGTAGTTTTTTTATTGTAGGCTGTAATATTTAGGAATAACTCACTGAAATCTGTCCGAACAAGAGTCTATTAAACATCCCGGGTAGGATAAAATTTGAAACACGTAATCATAAATTATAATTTAATAATCATAAAAAATAATAATATAATAATAATACATTTAATTCAATAATATAATCAAACCAAAAACACGGAAATTTGAAATATAGCGCCAAGTTCGCACATCGCTGAGCAAAGTCACAAAATCGTTTTTTAGTGTCTGATGACAAATTTCTCCACAAATCATTATCACTCAATTCTGCACGTGGTTCTGATTTACTATCGCTGTTCTCTAGCTGATCTAAAACCGCTTTTGACCTAAAGGGACACTTTTTGGACGCCGTGGACATTTCTCAGTTTCCAGGCAGAAAGAACAGACAAAATGCAGACAGGGGACAGGACAAAGCACTAGGGACAAAATGTATGTGAAATGGGTTGAAACAGCAATGTTTTACTATGTAAAATCGTTTTGAAAAAAATGACTTTTTTAAATTTTCAAATTTCCCGCCGCCGCCCGTACATCCCGACGTCGCAGGGACCGGAACACAGAAGCCGGATGCCGGCATCGGCCGGAGGAGATAGCCGGGGACGCTGCAGGGGACACATCGCAGGAGCGAAGGACAAGGTAAGTGCTGCAGGGACTCCCTATGCAGCGCCGCATGGTAAGCCCGAGTGTAGCTCGGGGTTACCGCTTTTGGTACTGACATTTTTTTCCCCGAGCTACACTCGGGAATACCGTTAGGGAGGTTAAATAAAAGCTTCTGAAAATCTTTGAAGTTGCAAAAAAAGAAAAAAAAAAAAACCCACACAAGCTCCACTTACCCTGAAACCCCATTTCAAACAACAATAATTTTTGCAGGAAAACATGAAGCGCTGCATATTAATACCCTGCACTGTCTTGCTGCACCAGCAGGCCGAGCTTTACAGCCACTTTAAAAATGTGCAGCCTCTCTGTTGGCTTCCTTAGAGGCCGTTTACACACCTTAAAGGCGTCCTACTTTCCTAAGATGTGCATTGATCATGTAGTTTCATGGTGTCATTTGTTGCCCTGTATGCACAGCCAATAGTAGAGTATTTCTTTACATTCTTGTGTCAGCCGTTTTTTTTTGGTGTTCAAAGATGAGGCATACCGCATGGCACTGCACAGGTTAAAGCATGACCTCTGTCTGTAGTGTGAGACCTGACACTTACTGTGAAGAAACCTACATATCCTGCAATCCCTGGATCTCGCATTCTAGTGCTGGTACAGGTGAAAGCTAGACGGTCATTAGATCTGGCACATACACAAGAGCAGGCAGAACATTCACAGACACTCACTGATACATCTGGAAGACTTTAATTAGATTAGCACTCCCGCATTTGTAATGTGACGAGCAGACCGCAACGAGCGCACGCTGCATTACCTAGAACAGGAACAAGCTCTACCAATACATACGGAAATTGATCGGCCATGACACTACAAACTGCAGCCACAACATTTCAGTCCATCGTTACAAGGGAAGTCAAGAAAGTAGCCAGCGAATATACTGTAACTACACAAATAACTAGTCAAAACAAAAAAACATTTAAAAAAAAAAAGGCTTTTAAAAGCTTAAAGTGTTACTAAACCCACAGCACTAAGTCATGTTTTGCTTGGGGATCAAATACCTATTTTACTCATTTATAACATTTTGTATCGTGTTTTTTTTTCTGGATTTTTGGTTGATATTCTCTCTATCATTTAAAATACATCTATGATAAAAAGTTATAGACCCTTCATTTCTTTGTAAGTGGGCAAACGTACAAAATCTGCAGTAAAGCATGCTTGTTCTACTCCCTGTGGAAACTAAAAGGTTAATCCTCTGCATGGTGTAAAAAGGCTGTTTGAGCCTGTCTTCTCTGATCCTCCCCTTCTACTGTCCCCTATCCATCTGCTGATAGTACAGAGCTCTAGGAGTCACTCTGCACATGCTCAGTTTAGTGTGTACTGCTAGAGGTTTTTTTTTTTTCCTTTAGGAGGGTGCATGTGATCAGCACAGGGCCAATCAACACTGCGCAGACAAAAGTCAGGGGTTATGGAGCCTCAGAGGACAGTCAAAGGAGAATGAAAACTACTCCTACAAGATTAGCCAGTGCTCATCCAGACACTGATAAAAGTCACAAGACTGTTATATACTGCTGATTAGAAAAAAGGTATTTGGTAGTTTATATTTACTAAAATAATTGCATTTCCATGTTCTGTGGGAGAGCAGATATAGTGAATGCAGGGTCCTGGGTTTAGTAACATTTTATCTTTACACTATATCCCAAAGGCAAATCTTCAGGGGAAATGATTTGATCCCCTGAAGATTTTATACGTTTGCCAACTTACAAAGAAATGAAGGGTCTAGAACTTTTTTTTATCATAGATGTATTTTAAATGATAGAGAGAAAAAAAATAAAAATAAAAAAGCTCTTGCAGTGGGGCTCACCACTCTGCTGCACTTGTCAAATGTTCATTAACTTTATCCCAGCAATGGCACCTCCTGCCTGGAGTTTGCATGTTCTCCCTGCATGTTCTACCTTGTCCTTCGCTCCCGCGATGTGTCCCCTGCAGCGTACCCAGCCATCTCCTCCGGCTGATGCGGGCACCCGGCTTCCGTGTTCCGGTCCCTGTGACGTCGGGACGTACGGGCGGCGGGAAACTTGAAAATGTAAAAAACTTTATCCCAGCAATGGCACCTCCTGCCTGGAGTTTGCATGTTCTCCCTGTGCATGCGTGAGTTTCCTCCGGGTACTCCAGTTTCCTCCCACACTCCAAAGAAATGCTGGTAGTTAATTGGATCCTGTCTAAATTGTCCCTAGTATGTGTATGTATGAATGTGAGTTAGAGACCTTAGATTGTACACCTCTTGGGGGTTATGGACTGATGTGAATGTACAATATATATATGTAAAGTGCTGCGTAAATTGACGGCGTTATACAAGTACCTGAAATAAAACTTTAAAGGTGTAGAGGAAGAGGCGATAATACTTCTATTGCTCTGGCACTGTTCTCTTTTCCCTGACATTCCAGGCGATCCCTCGCCATCATCATATGCAATGGCTATTAACCCAGCATTCTACTTGGAGGAGGCAGGCATCAGACCTCATCCAAGAGTGCTTTAGAGAGGAGGCTTTGGGTGGTCACACATGGAGGGAGCCTATAGGGATGGGAGTAAAGTGTTCATCCTAATCCCAGTACTCCTAGACCCAATCAGCTGTTAACCTTTGCAATGGGGGAATCCTCACTGAAAGGGTACATTTTTTTCTTGTGTCGAGTTGAGATTTAAGGAAACGGCTTTCAATTAAATCAATCTTCTGAATGCCATTTCTGGGCAGCCTTAGAGTTCAGATCCTGAACTAAATACATTTTATGTGCATTAAAAACTGTCTTACAGTTCAATTTCTAAAGCAGCCACAGTCAGAGAAGGAAAGCCTGTTCTCTGCCAGCAACTGCAAAGTGGGAACCTCCCTCTATACAGAGAAGCATTGTTCTCATTGCAGAGGTGTGGCATGCCCCGACTGAGTCGGACCTATAACTATGTAATCAAGGCTCATACTTACCTCAGCAGGGGATGTGTCAGAACTCTATAAAAAGATCACTGCTTCCCCAAAATGAACAAGGGTTCCATATTTTAAGTCTTAAACTGATGGTTCAGTTGGGCTTTCAATACACATTCCCAGAGATTCATTTATTCATAGCAATCACCTTAAAAGACTATTGCCCCAACACTGCTGAGAAATGCATCTCAGTGGCTTACTGTGCAGAGACATGTGTAGGACTACTACATGTGCCCTTGTTATATAATAAACTACCCCTGGAATGAAGACATTACTATCTGTACAAAACAAAGGAATATTACCATCATCATCATCAAAATGAGGCATCTTGACAACGAGGATGCCACCGGAACTTGATGGAAAGGCAAACAGTGCTTCTCCGTCACTGCTCAGCCACGCAGTGGATGCATTGGAGTTCTGCGCACGGCCAGGCTGCGTGGGTATCACATAGCTGTTTGATGGGTTCTTGTAGTTCATTTTGCCAATATCTGTAAATATGGACTGCATCTGGCTATCTGAAATGATCTCCTGCAAAACAGAAATCACAGTGGCAAAAATGAACAAAGCATTTACAGCAAAATGAAGAGAGCCATGTTGTGTTATGGATTCAGAAACAGGCATTCCATTGAAAATCAACAGAGGGGTTATTTACTTAGTGACTGTCCAAGCACTGTTTAGGCAGATAATGTATCCCCTGATATCCCTCTTTCCCTGAAGAACAAATCCCAACATTTTTTTATTTTGCTGTAACCAGACACATCTTTCATTACTCTAGCTCAGGGGTTTCCAGACTTTCTAAAGAAAGGGCGAGTTTACTGTCCTCCTTCAGACTTTGGGGGGGGGGGGGGTTGGACTGTGCCCAGTTGTATTAGAAGGAGAAATAGCTGGGTTCAATGGAAGGAAACGTGCCCCCATTTTTGCTGTCAGTGGAAGGAATTATGCCTCATCATTGGTGTCAAGGGAAGGAATAGTGTCCCATTGTTGGTGTCAATGGCAGGAGTTATGCTCCATGGTTGGTGTCAATGGCAGGACACATGCTCCATTGTTGGTGTCAATGGCAAGAATAATGCCTCAAGGGCCGGATAAAGGCAAGTGAAAAAGGGACAAATCTGGCCCCAGGGACAACCCTGCTGTAGGTGATATAATCACCATGTTAATAAAATGTATGGAAAACACTAATGACATAGGTACTCCCTCAAAGTTACATCTTCCAAGAGCCCTTTCCCTACACGTAGTTACATGGCAGATCTGGGGAATCAGGATGAAAGTATTGCTTTGCTGGGAAAGAAATCGATGTATGCGTATGAAGAGACAGGAAGAGTTCTGTAGTTCACCAGCCAGGGCTGACAACGCTGGGTTGAATTTTATATCAACAAAGGCACTCTGTTGTAAGCCCAAGCAAAGTTAGGAGCACCCAGACTTTTGGGCAGATCAACAGGTTTTTCTTTTTGTTGTACTTTCCCCAATCATAAAATCACATTGCCAAGTAAGGCCATAGACTGCTAAGCATTTGGGTATTTCTGCAGTAATGATCACAGGTGTATGGAATCAGCCACGGACAGAAAACCAATGACAGGTATGCAGCTGTCTGCATGTAACTGCACATTGAGGCAAATTGTCTGTGTCCAGGACCGCATATCTATCCAAAAATTGCATTGAACAATTCAATGTGTGATTTCCAATACCTGCAACTCTTGCCACAGAAATACGGTGGTCCTCGACATTCTGTGCCCCTACTCATCTGTGTGAATGAAGCTTAAAGCAGACCTTTCACATTAAAAGCAAACCTTGTCTCTACTGTACCAGATGATACTTACACTTCTGTACATGCGTGAAGGATGGGGCAGTACCAGCCTGTGAACCGTCTGATTTGTGACTATCAGGATAATCACATAGCTGTGCGTCTCACACACGTGGACTCCTCCAGGTAAAATGGAACAACTAAGGATCTTGAGTCGGATGGCATTGTTCAGGAGGTTGGTATCCAATGACTCCTCCACCAGTTCCAGCGTGTCCCCATGTGAGGTCCTGAGAGCACATATAACAGATAAACATGAAAAAAACAATATATATAACAAAGTGCTCACCAGGCTAAGGGCTGACATTGATGTATAGACCCAAAAACCTAGTATTTGCCACACATTTGT